TCTACCAATACATAATCCAACAAACTACTGTCATTTCGCCCTACATCATATCGTGTATACTTATTTATCCTCTTTTTCTTAAAATATGTATTACCTATAACTAAACCCCTTTCTATACAAAGTTCAATCAAAGGGCTCCCATTATCATTTACACCTGGCACCCCAAACTTACCTACCACACCCTCTCTAAAAGTTTCTCCTACTTTAGCATTCAGGTCCCCTACCACAATTACTCTCTCACTTGGTTCAAAGGCTCCTATACATTTACTTAACATCTCCCAAAATCTCTCTCTCTCCTCTGCATTCCTCTCTTCTCCAGGTGCATACACGCTTATTATGACCCACTTCTCGCATCCAACCTTTACTTTAATCCACATAATTCTCGAATTTACACATTCATATTCTCTTTTCTCCTTCCATAACTGATCATTTAACATTACTGCTACCCCTTCCTTTGCTCTAACTCTCTCAGATACTCCAGATTTAATCCCATTTATTTCCCCCCACTGAAACTCTCCTACCCCCTTCAGCTTTGTTTCGCTTAGAGCCAGGACATCCAACTTCTTTTCATTCATAACATCAGCAATCATCTGTTTCTTGTCATCCGCACTACATCCACGCACATTTAAACAACCCAGTTTTTATAAAGTTTTTCTTCTTCTCTTTTTTAGTAAATGTATACAGGAGAAGGGGTTACTAGCCCATTGCTCCCGGCATTTTAGTCGCCTCATACGACACGCATGGCTTACGGAGGAAAGATTCTTTTCCACTTCCCCATGGACAATAGAAGAAATAAAAAAGAACAAGAGCTATTTAGAATAAGGAGAAAAACCTAGATGTATGTATATATATATATGCATGTGCGTGTCTGTGAAGTGTGACCAAAGTGTAAGTAGGAGTAGCAAGATATCCCTGTTATCTTAGCGTGTTTATGAGACAGAAAAAGAAAACCAGCAATCCTACCATCATGCAAAACAGTTACAGGTTTTTGTTTCACAGTCATCTGGCAGGACGGTAGTACTTCCCTGGGTGGTTGCTGTCTACCAACCTACTACCTGTAGAGCCCAAAGCGTATACAGAGTTAAGTCCGAGGCTGACACAGTGAAAAATCATAGCATCGTGTCTTTTTTTTCCAGACTATACCAAAATCTACAAGTGTTATCCACTGAGGACTCGGTAAATCTCCAAGAAGATATAAATCAAGTTTTCCAATGGACCACGAAAAAATGCATGATCTTTAATGAGGACAAATTTCAATTACTTCCCTGTGGAAAACTTGAGGAAATAACAGCTTAAACGAAGTATTCAACGAACTCTTATCGCACAATAGAGCGAGAAAGTAATGTGAAAGATTTAGGAGCGTAAATGTCAGATCTCACCTTCAAGTATCACAACAGTGTCACTATCACATCTGCGAGGAAAATAATGGGATGGATTATGAGAACGTTCAAAACAAGGAATGTCATGTCATTTATTCTCTCTAAGCTGGAATACTGCTACGCACTAGCAGCTCCATTCAAGGCAGGTGATATCGCAGAACTAGAGAATGTACAGAGAACCGTCACTGCATGTATAACTTCACTTAAGCACTGTAATTACTGGGAACCTTTGGACTTTCTTGACCTCTATTCCCTGGGATGCAGGCGAAAGAGATATATCTACACCTAGAAAATCGTAGAGGGACTGGTCCCAAATCTGTACACTGAAATCACTCCTTACGAAAGCAAAAGACTCTGAAGGCGGTGCAACGTCTCCCGAATGAAAACCAGGGGTTTACCTGGAGTCTACCTGCACGGTGATAAATTAGACACACGTACAACACTTGGGTATCTTTATTGAGGAAACGTATCGTCACACAGTGGCTTCATCAGTCCATACAAAGAAGAATTGTGGCGAACAGAAGGAGTTTAAGGTATTCAGTCCTTCAGCCTGGAGTCGATGTAATCAGTCCATCGATCTTGAAAAAAAATACAGCCCAAGTTCGAAGAAGTTGCTTGTATACATGTGTCTAATTTATCAACTTGTCGGTTCTCTGAACCATTTATCTACATATCTGCAGGGTGTTTCAGGCGTCAACGCCCACATGGCCCGGTCCATGACCAGGCTTTGCAGTGCATCAGGGCCTGATCAACCAGGTGTTACTACTAGTCGCAAACAGTCCATCGTACGAACCACAGCCCGGCTGGTCTCGTATTGACTTTAGGTATCTCTCTAGTTCCTTCTTGAAGACAATTAAAGGTTTAGTGGTAATTTCCTTTATGTATGCTAGAAAGTAGCCGAAGAGTCTTGGGCCCCTGATACTTATTGTATTACCTCTTCGCATACTCATGGCACCCCTGCTTTTCATTGGACGAATGTTGCACTGCTTGCTGAGTCTTTTGCTTTCAAATTTAGTGATTTCTTTTCTGCAGATTTGGGACTAGTCCCTCTAGGATTTTTCAGATGATAATTATGATGCATCTTTCTCGCCAGCGTTCAAAGGAGTACAGGCCAAGGGACTTCAAACGTTCCCAGTAATTGAACTGCTATATTGTACTACTACGTGTAGTAATAGTTCTCTATGTATTCTCCAGATATGCCGTTTCGTCTGCCTTGAAAGGGAGATTCTCTGACATAATCACACTCAAGTGTTTTACATTAGTTTTTCGCTGTGTTATGTGGTTAGAAAGAGTACATTAAGAGAAAACACTAAGTGTCCGGGGCGTAAGATTGTTTAACCGCCTCCTACCCCGTGAAGTGGGAACTGGACAGATACCTTAATGTCAGTACGCAGTCAGCCGGGCTGTGGTTCGTACGTTGGATTGCTTCAGACTAGCAGTATCAGCCTGGTTAATCAGGTCCTGATCCACTGGGAGGCTTGGTCAAGGACTGAGCTACGAGGGCGTTAAGGTAGATCCCAGGTAGATGGCATAGGCCATGCTGAGAGATTGTAATTCCAAGGTGATAGTAACTCCAGCTCTGTTATAACTGAAGCACTGAAGCTCCCGTAGCTGATGAACCGATAAAGGAACAATTAATGATACTCTCATTGCAAAACTGAAGTCTAGCTGCTCAGACTGACTGACATTGTCAATATATGTGAGCTGCCATCCTGTGTGATGGAATATGATAGTGAAAGACATAACTTCTGTTCCCAGTGGAAACAGGATTGCAGCACAATGCAGATGTATTTAGTTTTATGCTAGAGTAAAAAAACAAAAGGATAAAATGCAAATGCAGTATACACAGACTTTGCGAAATCCTTCGACAAGTGTGATCATGGTGCAGTAGTGCACAAAATGCATGGTAAAAAAAATAACATGGAAAGTTGGTAAATGGATCTATAACTTCCTAACAAACAGAAGACAAAGAATAATAGTAAACAGTAAAATCTGAGGCGGCTACAGTGAAAAGCTTTTCCACAAGGCACAGTTCTCGCTCCCATTCTATTCCTCATCCTCATATCTGACATAGACAGATATGTAAGACATACCTCTGTGTCTTCTTTTGCGGATGACACCCGAATTACCATGACAGTGACCTCCATCAAAGACACTGCAAGACTCCAAGCGGACATCAACCAAATCTTTAAATGGGCCGTAGAAAACAAAATGAAGTTCAACGAAGAGAAATTTCAACTACTTAGGTATGGAAAATATGATGAAATTAAAACTGTATCGGGATATACAACAAATTCTAACCATACAATAGAGAGAAAAACTGATGAGAAGGACCTGGGAGTGATAATGTCAGAGGATCTTGCCTTCAATGCCCACAACAATGTATCTACCTCATCTGCTAGAAAAAATGGTAGGATGGATTATGAGAACCTTCAAAACTAGGGAAGCTAAGCCCATGATGATTCTCTTTAAATCGCTTGTTCTCTCTAGAATGGAATATTGCTGTACACTAACTGCCCCCTTCAAGGCGGGCGAAATTGCTGACCTGGAATAAAGCACCTAAATTACTGGGAATGGTTGAAGTCCCTTGATTTGCATTCCCTGGAACACAGGCGAGAAAGATACGTGATAATATACACAAATACGCTAAGAGACAACACAACAAGTGTCAGGGGCCCAAAACTGTCCAACTGCCTCCCAGCATACATAAGGGGGATTACCAATAGACCTCTGTCTGTCATCAAGAAGGTGCTGGACAGGCACCTGAAATCAGTATCTAATCAACCTGGTTTTGGTTCTTATATAGGGTTACGTGCGAGCAGCAGTAGCAACCTGGTTGATCATACCCAGATCCACCATGATGCCTGGTCTCAGACTGGGCCGCGGGGACGTTGACCTCTGAAACCCTCTCCAGGTATACTCAAGCCACGATTGGAGATGGTCAGCAGTGTTTAACTGGTATCCATAGCTGTTACATTCACTACTTCATGGGCGACAGTCACTGACGTATAGCTGATACATTCACTGACCCATTACTGACACATTCACTGACTCATTACTGACACATTCGCTAACGCATGGCTGACACATTCGCTGATGCAGGGCTGACACATTAAACGTATGACTGACAGTCACTGACGCATGGCTGATGTAGTCACTGACACGTGGCTGACACATTCACTGACACATGGCTGACACACCTTTCTTGTTGTATTAAAGCTGGAAGCCTTTAACCTCTCTTGTAGTTGTATTAAGACTGGAAGCCTTCAAACTTTCTTGATGTATTAAAACTGGAAGCCTTCAACCTCTCTTGTAGTTGTATTTGTTTTAAATTTTGTATTAATTTTAACGACAACATTTTGATGTAATTCTGTGTTTCGTTTTTCTTCATCTTCATTCGATTATATTTTCATTTATTTATTTTTTTTTTTGTTTCTGAAGATGTTATTACATATCATTGCTTCATTTATTCTTCTTTCTTCTCCTGCATAAGAACGTTTACAAAGACGCTCAGTAATATTTCATTTAAAGCTCCGAAAATATCAAATAGATTCTTCTCTAAAAATAACTTTTTCGGATGTGAAATTAGTAATATATTTATCACTCTTGTTTACTTTGTAGGTGGTTTGTCTGGTATGTTCAGGTGGGAGGCTACTGACCAGCTGCATCGTACAGGGTCGCACCTCTTCACAGTCACCGCCAAGGAGCTACATCTCTCTCTGGAACACAATAAGGAGCTGTGGGTTTTCCCCATGATGCAGCAACCCATCACCCCAGCTCTTCTGCTTGCTCTTACCAACGACTTCGACTCTCGGCGCTCTGTGGTGTACACTGTACGCCAGCCTCCCTCACTAGGTCAGCTGCTGCTGGAGGAGGCAGGTGTTAGAATTCCTGTTGAAAACTTCACTCAGCAGCACGTCAATGAATCTCGTATTGTGTTTGAGCACACTAAACCCTTTCCAGAACTCTCTGCTAGTGATATATTTGTGTTTGATGTAGAGACACCATTCACTGAGCCATTAAAGAATCAAAAATTTCGTGTGGAGGTGTCTGTGACTAGTCGTGGTGGAGGAGGTTTAGAACGGTATCTGGGGCTGGCGCCTCTGGTGGTGGCAGAAGGAGGGCAGGCCACTGTGCGCCCTGATAATCTCAACCTCTCTGCAGTGATGGAGTTTATCGAGAGTTATCCTGGTGCTATGGATGTTGATCAACCTTCACCAAGACTCGTGACTACTGTGACTGTCGTCCCAGCTCACGGAGTGTTCACTCTTCGAAAGAGAAACCTTACGGAAGGTTATACATTTACAGCTCGAGATATTGAGAAAGGTCGTGTTAAATACGATCATGACCATAGCGATACACTTACAGATGCGTTAGGGTTTACCGTCTCGATGGTCGGCAATGGGTCTTCTCCTGATGTGCTCTTGTTCAACGGTACTTTAAACGTAAGTGTGACACCTGTGAATGATCAACCATTCTCTCTGGAGACTGCGGCACCTGTCCTGCAAGTGGTTTCCCGTCAAACAGCTGTCATTACCAATGAGAGCCTCTTGACCACCGATCCTGACAACATGCCCAGTGAGATTCTCTATGAACTGATGAGTGCCCCAGACCATGGCCGCCTCGTCTCGGCTGACAACTACAGTGTTGGTATTCAGTCATTCTCTCAGCTAGAAGTAAACACAGGGCAAATTTTATATGCTCATGATGGTACTAATGGGTCAGCCAGATTTTATTTCAAAGTTTCTGATGGAAGACACAAACCAAAATATACGGTATTCACAATTGAGGTTGAGCCTTTAACCCTTGAACTAATAAACCACTCGTTCGTCCCATTACGCCAGGCTAACACTGTTGCCTACCTCTCACCACAGTTTCTAGCCGCAGTGACAAATGGTAACCATAACCATATATTTTACAACGTCACCAGACCTCCCAGGTTTGGTCGATTGTACATGAATGATCAAGTGGTACATACATTTAGGCAGGTGAACGTGGATAAGTGTGAAGTACTATATATGCAGATGGAACTGAGTAAACCAGCTGATAACTTCAAAGTAGATCTTTGGACGTGGGAGGCTACGTTGCGCGATGTGGAGGTTCGTATAGTAGTTGTACCATTAGTAGAGACCAAACCACTTTCAGCAGCTATAGGAGGTCGTACACGACTCTCTCTTGAACACCTTGATGCTTCACAACTTGCTACAACAACAGGAAGTAATCCCGTGTATAAGGTCAAAAGACGACCCCGTTTTGGTCGAATAAAAAAAGTAAGCAGACGAATGCAGAAGTCACTTCGCTCGCATGAAGTTCACGAGTTCACTCATGAAGAAATTAAAGCAGGTCTAATATATTATATTGCAAGAAATCTTAATTTAAAAACTGATGAGCCTTTGCATGATACACTTCAGTATATGTTACAGGTTCCTGCTCCCAGTGTACAGCCTGCTGAAGGTACATTACATCTCAGGCTAGTAGAAGCACATTCAGTCCTTGATGAGGGCGCAGAGCCTCCCAGACACTTAAGACCGGAGCTTATACCACCATCTATTCGTGGTAGTTCAGAGTCCAGTTCTCCTGGGTCTATAAATTATGGCTTGTTTCTGGGTATTCCCAAAGATTTTATAGTAATGGTGGTGGCAGCCGTTACTGTAGTGATAATCGTTGCTCTAATTATTGTGGTAAGGTGTGCTACAAGACGTCGCCACTTTGACAAGGCAAGTGACATTGGAATGAATGCTGATGTACAATCTCTACCATCACCTATTCCATTAGATTCTAGACCAAATTCATTTATGATCAATGACCTGTCAGAACTGGAGTGCCGACCGCCAGATTTGCCATCATCTCCCCGACCTGAGAGGAACCTCGTGCACCAGCAGCTACACCACAATGGTGGCAGTGTTGGGTTGGGTCTGGCCGCCCATCTCACAGACTCTGAGGCCTTGTGGCCCCATGATGCCTCAAGCGAAGTGTCGCCAGCAGTGCCTCAGTGCAAGGTACAGTTTGCCCTCTCTCCTACGAGCTAATTATTTTCTAAATATTAAATTTCATTTGATTTCTTCACATTTGTTTTTCAATCTGATAATTGCAAAAGTCTTTTTTTTTTTTTGGCAATTCCTTTGATACCTTATTTATCGTCATTAAATTTCATGAAATCCTTTAACCAAATGTACAATTCTTTCCTATCATTTTGTTACTTGATTTTAAATTTTCGTTATTTAATTCTCTTGTGGTAGCACAGGTGACGCCCTTGTGTACAGATACAGCGGCTCGTGACCCTACTTACGACCCTCTTCTGGCTGCCTATCCCTACGGAGTGGACACTCAAGCTGAAGAATGGGGGCTTTACGAGAACCACCAGCCACGAGCCACCAACCCAATGCTCAGGAAGAACCAGTACTGGGTATAGTACCCTTTGTAGTGGACTGTCACAAACAGTGCATACACAATATAAAGTACCACAAATGGGATTATAAACAAGTTTTATTGTTAATGAAGATAATGGCAGTCAGATGTTTAAGACAGGTTTTCTAAGACTGTGAAAGTGATAAAATATCAGAAGCTACGACTGTTCTAATTCACGATTCTGAGTAACTTTATTAAGCATTGCCAAGAGCCTACCTAAATAAGTGTTAATAATTAGAACTATATGTATTCAAGTGCTACGAGTGCTTGGTAGGTTTCACAAGTGCGTTTATCCTCCAGTGAGAGGTAGAGACAAACTTAAGTCAGAGTTTGAGAATGTATGAAAACTTTTATGCAACTCAGGAATTTCTGGTGGTTTTAATTACAAGGAAAAGAAAGGATCATTTTCTAATACACGAGGTCACTGACGTTGCTTTCCTCAGGAAATTTTTAAATGTTCAGTTTTAGGAAGCCGCTCAGAAGCACAAAGTCTGCGCAAATCTTGAAGAATTTATGTAGATTCCGATCTTCACAAATATGGAGCCAAGGACTGTGCAGACCTTGAGCCAGTCTGTGCACTCTGACCATTAATCATGTAGCCTTAGAGTTCATGGGTTCCTGGTTATTCTGGATGGAGCTTAAAAACTCCTGTACCATTTCAACTCCTTCCCTTTGTCAATAGCTTTATGACCCATGCGGGATTAGGCATTTTGCATACCGTATGTAATATAATTAAACTTGTATAAACGCCAGAGAGGTTATATCGCATATATTTGACTGTTGATAAGATCTGATGCAATTTGTCCTGTACAGATGCGTCATGCCAAGCAATCTAACATTCAGTGATTCTCTTAAAAAGAGTTTGTCGGCAGATACTTCTTTATTTAGGAGTTATGCAAAAAGCCATTTTACGAAATAAGTTTTCCATTGCAAAAGTTATGTGTTTATTTCTCATACTAGAGCAGGACCCAGTCTGCACACACTGAATCAAAGTACAGAGTACTGTATCACACAGCCAGACCCTGGCAAGTCGACACTAGGCGTTGTCTCGCATTCCCAGGAGCACCAAGATTGTTTCAGTTATTTCATCTCATCCTACCCTATGCAATGGCCACCGAGAGATTTTTTAATGCTTAAAATTGCAAACGAGCGAAATAATGGATAAAATAATGTCTCAAACCCGAGCAGGACTCAAGCCTACAAACTTTGCATCAAGGTACACAGTGCTACACCAGCTAGACTATTAGATACTAGTTGATAAAACACTTTCACCGTCACTCACAGTACTTTCTTGCCAGAGGCACGCTGACACCACTATTCAGATGCCTCTCCAAACTGCAATATCCCCACCCCTCCTTCAGAGTGCAGGCTCTGTACTTCCCACCTCCAGGACTCAAGTCTGACTAACGTGTTTCCCTGAATCCTTTCATGTAACAGTGCTCACACTCTAACAGCACGTAAGATCATAAAAATCACTTGCCTCCATACCTTTCTAAAACGCACACTTATTCCTACAGGATGTTTAAGCCCCTCGCATACTAAACCTTCCCTACACTGCAAATTTATGTACCCTTCAGTCACCTGATTTTGATCCATTGTCTCTTGATTGTCCATATCACCTCAACAACCCCCTCATCAGTCATTTGGATAATTTTTTTAGTAAACCTACTCCTTTTAATTTTCAAACCACAAATTCTTTGCATAATATTCACACCACACAATACCCTCAAATGCAACATCTCAACTGCCTTCAGCCTCCTCATCGCTGCAACATTCACAACCCATGCTTCACACCCATATTAGAATGTTGATACCACTATACATTCATTCCACTTTTTGCCTCCGTGGATAACGTTCTTTGTCTCCAAGGATGCCTCAATGCACCACCCATCTTCTCTCGTCAATTCTTTGATTCTCCTCGTCTTTCATAGATTAGCCCACCGACAAGTTCGCTCCCAAATATCTGAGCACATTCACCTCCTACAATCATTCATTCCCTCTATTACCCTCATCACCTTGTTCTTTCCTATGTTCACTTTTAATTCCCTTTTCAGAATCTCCCAAAAGCACAGTGTCATCGGCAAAAAACAACTGTGACAACTCCCACGTTGCATTATTTTTTTTTCTTAATCCCAACATCTCTCTCACTTAATTCACTCCCCCATCTATAAATATGCTAACCATGATAACATCTTGCATCCCTCTCTAAGTTTACTTCTACTGGAAAATAATCTCTCTTACTCCCAACTTGAGCCTCACTATTCTTATAAAATCTTTTAGCTGCTGTCACCCATTTATCAGTTGGAGTTCCAGTCTCACGAGTAGAACACATATTAATGCAACCACAAAACATAGTGGTTTTAAGCAACTAAGAATACTGCAACCAGCCGCAAATTGAATCCTGGACATTTAGCCTGGCTGTTAGTCAAGTGGGTTAAGAGGCACGTAAGTTCCCTCGTCTTCTAATAACAAGCTCAATTTTCCACTATAATCTACCTTGTCCATAATTACTATTGCATTTGCTTTGTTTTGTAAGGTGAAGTCTAGGATTTTTCTTGAATTCATGGGATAACTTAAATCTTTGAGGAAAATTGTGTATCTGACGCGTGAGCTTCGCTCAGACTTAGTCTCGGATGAGTCCAAGGGATGTTATTAAGTATTTCTTCAGTCACAGAGTTATCAGGAAGTGGAATAGTCTGAAAAGTGATGTAGTGGAGGCAGGATCCATACATAGCTTTAAGGAGAAGCATGATAAAGCTCATGGAGCAAGGCGAGTTATCTAGTAGAGACCAGTGAAGAGGCGGGGGCCAGGTGTTGTTATGCGACCACTGCAACCACAATTAGGTGAACGCACACACCACGAAACCCTCACCTAACAAAGCATGTTAGAAAACTGGAGAAAATACAGAGATTTGCAACGAGAATATTCAAAACAAGGAATATTATGTGAGAAAAGCGAAAGAAAGTAATCCTAACAATACTAGAGGAACCAGGGAAGACATAACAATACTAGAGGAACCAGGGAAGACATAACAACACTAGAGGAACCAGGGAAGACATAACAATACTAGAGGAACCAGGGAAGACATAACAACACTAGAGGAACCAGGGAAGACATAACAACACTAGAGGAACCAGGGAAGACATAACACAAGAGGAACCAGGGAAGACATAACAACACTAGAGGAACCAGGGAAGACATAACAACACTAGAGGAACCAGGGAAGACATAACACAAGAGGAACCAGGGAAGACATAACAACACTAGAGGAACCAGGGAAGAGATAACGACACTAGAGGAACCAAGAAAGACATAACGACACTAGAGGAACCAGGGAAGACATAACAACACTAGAGGAACCAGGGAAGACATGACACTAGAGGAACCAGGGAAGACATAACAACACTAGAGGAACCAAGAAAGACATAACGACACTAGAGGAACCAGGGAAGACATAACGACACTAGAGGAACCAAGAAAGACATAACGACACAAGAGGAACCAGGGAAGATATAACAACACTAGAGGAACCAAGGGAGACATAACGACACTAGAGGAACCAGGGAAGACATAACGACACTAGAGGAACCAGGGAAGACATAACGACACTAGAGGAACCAGGGAAGACATAACGACACTAGAGGAACCTGGGAAGACATAGCAACACTAGAGGAACCAGGGAAGACATAGCAACACTAGAGGAACCAGGGAAGACATAACATTAGAGGAACCAGGGAAGCCATAACAACACTAGATGAACCAGGGTAGCCATAAGAACACTAGAGGAACCAAGGAAGACACAAGAGCACTAGAGGAACCATGGAAGACATAACAACACTAGATTAACCACACGTGGGCATATGTCGGAAGTATTTGCTTTGCCTCAGGACGGACAGGGAGTGGAAGGACCTGACTAAAGTAGTGGAAATAGACTCCATGCTAAACTTTAAGAATAAATATTACACATCTTAAGAGGAAGTCAATCCAGTAACTTAAGAGACGGGGGTCAGGAGCAAAGACTCGACCCCCTACAACCACAAACAGGTGAGTACAAATAGGTGGATACACACACCACATCCTCCACCTGTCATGCTACTCTGTCATGCTACTCTATCATGCTACTCTGTTTTAATCAGATTTTATCACCTACATGTGTTTGAAAGTTCTGTGAGATTGAACAGTGTTACTGGTAAGTAGGAACAGTGTTACTGGTAAGTAGGAACAGTGTTCCTGGTATGTAGGAACAGTGTTCCTTGTATGTCTGAACAGTGTTCCTGGTATGTAGGAACAGTGTTCCTGGTATGTAGGAACAGTGTTCCTGGTATGTATGAACAGTGTTCCTGGTATGTATGAACAGTGTTCCTGGTATGTATGAACAGTGTTCCTGGCATGTAGGAACAGTGTTCCTAGTATGTAAGAACAGTGTTCCTGGTATGTAAGAACAGTGTTCCTGGTACGTAAGAACAGTGTTCCTAGTATGTAAGAACAGTGTTCCTGGTATGTAAGAGCAGTGTTCCTGGTATGTAAGAACAGTGTTCCTGGTATGTAAGAACAGTGTTCCTGGTATGTAAGAACAGTGTTCCTGGTATGTAAGAACAGTGTTCCTGGTATGTAAGAACAGTGTTCCTGGTATGTAAGAACAGTGTTCCTGGTATGTAAGAACAGTGTTCCTAGTATGTAGAACAGTGTTCATGGTATGTAAGAACAGTGTTCCTGGTAATGTAAAACAGTGTTCCTGGTATGTAAGAACAGTGTTCCTGGTATGTAAGAACAGTGTTCCTGGTATGTAAGAACAGTGTTCCTAGTATGTAAGAACAGTGTTCCTGGTATGTAAGAACAGTGTTCCTGGTATGTAAGAACAGTGTTCCTGGTATGTAAGAACATGTTCCTAGTATGTAAGAACAGTGTTCCTGGTATGTAAGAACAGTGTTCCTAGTATGTAAGAACAGTGTTCCTGGTATGTAAGAACAGTGTTCCTAGTATGTAAGAACAGTGTTCCTAGTATGTAAGAACAGTGTTCCTGGTATGTAAGAACAGTGTTCCTGGTATGTAAGAACAGTGTTCCTGGTATGTAAGAACAGTGTTCCTGGTATGTAAGTACAGTGTTCCTGGTATGTAAGAACAGTGTTCCTGGTATGTAAGAACAGTGTTCCTGGTACGTAAGAACAGTGTTCCTAGTAAGAACAGTGTTCCTGGTATGTAAGAACAGTGTTCCTGGTATGTAAGAACATGGTTCCTGGTATGTAAGAACAGTGTTCCTAGTATGTAAGAACAGTGTTCCTGGTATGTAAGAACAGTGTTCCTGGTATGTAAGAACAGTGTTCCTAGTATGTAAGAACAGTGTTCCTGGTATGTAAGAACAGTGTTCCTAGTATGTAAGAACGATGTTACTGGTATGTAAGAACAGTGTTCCTGGTATGTAAGAACAGTGTTCCTGGTATGTAAGAACAGTGTTCCTGGAATGTAAGAACAGTGTTCCTGGTATGTAAGAACAGTGTTCCTAGTATGTAAGAACAGTGTTCCTAGTATGTAAGAACAGTGTTCCTGGTATGTAAGAACAGCGTTCCTGGTATGTAAGAACAATGTTCCTGGTATGTAAGAACAGTGTTCCTGGTATGTAAGAACAGTGTTCCTGGTATGTAAGAACAGTGTTCCTGGTATGTAAGAACAGTGTTCCTAGTATGTAAGAACAGTGTTCCTGGTATGTAAGAACAGTGTTCCTAGTTTGTAAGAACAGTGTTCCTGGTATGTAAGAACAGTGTTCCTGGTATGTAAGAACAGTGTTCCTGGTATGTAAGAACAGTGTTCCTGGTATGTAAGTACAGTGTTCCTGGTATGTAAGAACAGTGTTCCTGGTATGTAAGAACAGTGTTCCTGGTATGTAAGAACAGTGTTCCTGGTATGTAAGAACAGTGTTCCTGGTATGTAAGAACAGTGTTCCTAGTATGTAAGAACAGTGTTCCTGGTATGTAAGAACAGTGTTCCTGGTATGTAAGAACAGTGTTCCTAGTATGTAAGAACAGTGTTCATGGTATGTAAGAACAGTGTTCCTGGTATGTAAGAACAGTGTTCCTGGTATGTAAGAACAGTGTTCCTGGTATGTAAGAACAGTGTTCCTGGTATGTAAGAACAGTGTTCCTAGTATGTAAGAACAGTGTTCCTGGTATGTAAGAACAGTGTTCCTGGTATGTAAGAACAGTGTTCCTGGTATGTAAGAACAGTGTTCCTAGTATGTAAGAACAGTGTTCCTGGTATGTAAGAACAGTGTTCCTAGTATGTAAGAACAGTGTTCCTGGTATGTAAAACAGTGTTCCTAGTATGTAAGAACAGTGTTCCTAGTATGTAAGAACAGTGTTCCTGGTATGTAAGAACAGTGTTCCTGGTATGTAAGAACAGTGTTCCTAGTATGTAAGAACAGTGTTCCTGGTATGTAAGAACAGTGTTCCTGGTATGTAAGAACATGGTTCCTGGTATGTAAGAACAGTGTTCCTGGTATGTAAGAACAGTGCTCCTAGTATGTAAGAACAGTGTTCCTGGTATGTAAGAACAGTGTTCCTGGTATGTAAGAACAGTGTTCCTAGTATGTAAGAACAGTGTTCCTGGTATGTAAGAACAGTGTTCCTAGTATGTAATAACAGTGTTCCTAGTATTTAAGAACAGTGTTCCTTGTATGTAAGAACAGTGTTCCTGGTATGTAAGAACAGTGTTCCTAGTATGTAAGAACAGTGTTCCTGGTATGTAAGAACAGTGTTCCTGGTATGTAAGAACATGGTTCCTGGTATGTAAGAACAGTGTTCCTGGTATGTAAGAACAGTGTTCCTAGTATGTAAGAACAGTGTTCCTGGTATGTAAGAACAGTGTTCCTGGTATGTAAGAACAGTGTTCCTAGTATGTAAGAACAGTGTTCCTGGTATGTAAGAACAGTGTTCCTGGTATGGTGTTCACATATAACATTATATTAAACATCAACATTATATTATACCGAGGAGATGAATTAGACATATTCTGTACCTGGGTATCTGTATTATGTAGACTTTTGTCAACCAGTTGTATTATCAATACAGTACAATACACTCTTCTATATTGTATTGATATAATACAACATCTTGGAATCTTGCAGACGTTTCGCCATCCAGCGAAACATAACAGAAATATAAGTAATATAACAAATAGTGGAAGATGGGGGTATCAGTCCCTCAGTCACTGAATGGCGACGCGTTTACTGACTGACGAGACCCAGATGTTGCACGTCTGTCAAGTTCCACAATATTATTCTTGTAAATATTTACTGTATACAAATATTAAGTTATTTTGAAATAAAGAGAATACAGTTTGTATTTGTACAGTTTAGTGCCAAAGAATTTATATCAAATTTGTAATAAACAGTAATTTTAACAGTGTAACCGTTTATCCTTTATAGGTATTGTGACCCATGCGGGTTTAGTGCTCTGATTTTTTTTTTCAGTGTGGTACACTATTCTCAGACCACAGTAATAAGGTCTAAGATAGTGGAGATATTTTTACTTCCTTGGATCAACCTGACTGCGTCCAGTTATTTATTCATTTTTTGACCCTTAGGGGTTTAGTGCTTCCCTATAATTGCAGTAATATAATAATAATGAGAAGTGGAAGAAACTACAGGTCTCTTGTATAAATTATTCATTTTTATTTACATTTTGTTACAGAGCCAATGTACATTGGAAAATTACCCCCACCCACGAGCCCCGTCTCATAAGTTTTATTTGAAAAAAAAATTAATTATCTTCAGATTTATCTAATTTATATTTTATTATCGATTTATAGAAGTAAAGTAATCCAGTAGCGAGACAAAACGTGCACAAATTATTAATTCATAAAATGCACTCAATCTGAACTTGTAACAAAGCACCAAAAAAAGAGATGTTTGTTACTAGTGGAAGTAACGCAACAGAAGAACAAACAAGCTAACAACAGGACAGCTGGAGTTGGCGAAATAAATCTAATCAGAAGTCAAAGAGCTCATCTGCACTGAAAGTAAGGCGAGTAGTAGGAGAAAGCAGGTAATGTGATGGAGCCCAGGAGCTAGACAGTAGATCGAAAATGAATCCGAGGAGCTGTCTGGTAAAAGGGATAATGAAATAAAATGTGTTGGAGTGTTAATGAACATAGATGAGCTGCGTAATTCTCCTTATAATAGCTGTGTGTGAGTCTTGTGTGACCAGTTCGTAAACATGTAAGAACTATTTTCGGAATGCAATAGTTATGGCTTAATCAAGGCCAATGATATTGCTCTTAGACTACAGTGGAAAATGATCCATATGAGAAATGGACAAGTTCTGAGATGTGGAACCTGCATGAGAGCCTGCAAGTTCACTGCCTTGGACACCAGAATGCCCAGAGCAACGAATTTGCAGACTCCTCTGGCTCGCTTTGAGGATCTTTATATTTTCAGATTTTGCCTCCGAAACTGCTAGTTTATTTTGAATCCCGCGTCTATTCTGTTAACGGTAGCCCAAGAGCATATGA